ATTTTTTTGTTAAGTACTCATTGTTTAATATAAAACTCATTAGAATTACTAACCCATCAACAGAAATATTTTAAATAAACATAGGTATTATGCACCCACAATACTGTGCCTTTAGGACGAAACTGGCGTTACGCCCGAAGTCCTCCTGATCGAGGGAGCAGGCAGCGTGGCGGCGTGACGGCGCAGGGACAGCTCTCTGCCTCTGTGGGTCCTCAGCTGTGGGTTCCACCAGGGAGGGCCGGAAGTCATCCAAAAAACTTGGACTAAACTTGTCTGCGTACTTGTCTCTCAGCATTCTAAGTACGTGTCCCAACGACTTTCACGGCGCGGACATGGCGGCAGGTGCGCAGTTGGGGAGATGACGTGAAGGAGCCCACAGAAGGGCCCGGATGCAGCTTGGTGTGGACACCTCGCCTAGCTCACCTGAGGCCCTGGGTTCCATCCACTGTGCTATGAAGGATACGTCCCCACGTGCCCCAAAGGTGTGCGCACGCCACGTGCAGACACAACGCCATCTCAGAGAGGGACTAAGTCCCTACCTAGGCACCCGCGGATTTTGCTGTCCGGGGACAGAGCTGACTTATCTGGCAGAGGGTGAACATCTCCACCGGAAGCTGCTGTCACCGGCAGGCGGTGCCTCTTCATGCCCACTGTGCAAATAGGTGGCGCGCCGGGTGGGACTCGGAAGGCCCGTGCTGGAACAGTGACGTCACCTTGTCCCGGCCCTCGTAAGCACAGAGGGTGTCATCTGGGGCATCGTGTCTTCCTTTGCAGCCTCCAGGCCCCTGGGGAAGGAGCGGAGTCTCTCCCCTTCTCTGGGCTGCAAAGCCTGACTGCACTCAGCAGGCGTGGCCACGAGGCTCCGGCTGGCCGCACCTGAAGCTCGCCGCGCAAAGCGTCAGGCTTGAAAGTGGCCTTGCCCTGCCGTGTGACCTCAGCGGGAGCTCACCTCTGCCCTCTACCACGATGGCCTCCTGTGGAGATACGCTGTCTCTACTCCACTGCGCGTCCCTGTGGCCTGGACACCCAGCCTTGGAGCCCCTCCTAGGCTGCCTGTGTGCTTCGGGCCGCACACACAGTCAGAGACTGGCCTGCCCTCCCTGGCCTGCCCGCACGCGAAGTCTCCGTGCAGGCCACTAACAAGTGCCCAAGGGCACCATTCACCGGAGAACAACAATGACCCTTAGGTGTTTCCAGGTGGGAGGCAACCACGCAGGCAAGGCCTCTGCACGACCGACATCGGGCCTCGGAAGCTAAGCGCAGTCTTACAACTACAGCGTTGAGTCGGGGATCCAGCGTTAGTCTGCGTTCAAAAGGGTCTGGATTTACACTAGGAGGCGTAACTTCAGAAGGGATTTGATTTCACACTTTTTTTCTGACAGGGTCTTGCTATGTGTTTCAGGTTGGCCTTAAACTCACTGTGTGCGTCCCAGGCTGGCCTCAAACTCTCAGCGACCCTCCCGCCTCCACCTCCCAGTGCTAGGATTACCAGCATGCGCCACCGCGCCCGGCCGTACTACTTTAGTAAGACCGTTTTGCCAGCACAAGAACATAATGGGCAGATGCAGAAGCCGAAGTTACAAGGGGCTGGCTCCTCAGGGCCGAGGTCTTATGTTGCCTTTGATTACAGAAAAGAAAATGGTTATCTGCTGCATCTTCACACTCCCTGGAGCAGTGTTTGTGTACGTGAGTAGGTGGTCAGAGGCCCCGGCTAGAAACAGTCTGTGATCTGAAATTACTTGTCACTACTTTCTGTGTCCGCCACCTAGGGAAGTCACCGCGGACGAGAGCCTTCTCGCCCACCACAACCCTGCCCGTGGGGAACTTCAAGGGAGGGTGGTGCCAGGGGGTGCCCGCGGGCGGCCCCACGTCTCTCCGTGTGGCCGTCTGAGTGGTGCCCAGACACAGACCTCTGCTGAAGGAAAGGCAGACCGTGCCCCCGGGGCGGAGCGTTTCTCGGGGGAGACGGCCCTGTGTCGTCTCCTTGTACTCGCTAGTGCTGGGCCTCCGTTAAACCCTAGTCCTCTCTGCAACAAAAACCCCCAAGACCGTGAGAGGTTTTTTGTACAATTGTTTATACAAATTTAACAAAGGTAAAACCGCGTGGGGGAAGGTCTAGGAAACACCACCAGAGACAATGGCACTTAAGAATGCAGAACTTCACAACTAGCGAACAGCCAGTTCACGAACCTAAATGAGAACTCACTCGCTTCAAAGGAGAGAACCGAAGGAAAAGAACCACCTCGTGGGCGTGTTTATTCTACTCCTTGACTCACGGGATGAACTAGGTTGACATGAAGTAAAGAGCTCATGCTGGAGCAATCCTCTCCTGAGTGCAAAGGCTGGAGTTTCACTTTTAAAATCTTAAGAAAAAGGTGAATTCTCTATGGAAGAAACTTGGCAACGTGTCTTACTCTGACTATGACTTAGACCTATCCACAACATGCTCGTGTGACTTCCCGGTGGCGCAGCGGGCTCCGGCCTCTGGCTAAACATGCTTTTAAGCGGAAGGCCTCGCCGCCGGCTCAGGCCTGGGCGCATCTGTGCTGATGAAGTGCAGGTTACGCTCTCTCCTCCCTGAAGGAAACCAGGAAGGTTGGCAATCTCAAAACAATAAACACACTGGTATGCATTCAAACCTTGCATAAATAACTTTTAAACAATTTGTACAAAAATAGTTCTGCATAATGTAAGATGTAACAAAACCAAAACGTGTCAGGATGGCAGCAGATGTGGTGTGTGGTCCATATTATGTTGACACCAAAACCCTTGACCTTGCAAGGAATTGGGTGTCCAAACAAAACCACCACCAAGGACACCAACCCGAGCCCACGCGCCAGTTCCTCCAGAGCGTCCTCTCCCGACCGCAGCGTCTCCTCCCGAGGCCGCCTGCAGTGGGCCCGGGAGCAGCGTGGTGGCCAGGCAGAGGCCAAGCAGGCACCCGGCTCGCTCGCTCCATGAGCGGGGGGCAGCCTCTCCCGGGGACACTTGCAAATGGAATCGTTCTGTTGTCTGCGGTCCCGAGTTCCAGGGGGAGACAAAGCCCTCGGTGGCTGTAAAGTCTTTCCCTGCCCGCCACCCCCACCCGCCCCGTATTTACACACTTGTCCTTGGACTAACTCAGTTTTTGCAGGAGTTTTTCTTCCACTTGCCCGAACTGGACACTCACGGACATCTCGGCGATGAACTGCTCGCAGCCCTCCTTGGTGACTTGCTTGCAGTACCTCAGGTCAATGTGACAGATATTCCCACAGCGCTTGAAGAAGGACAGGCACTGATCAGTGACTTTATTGCAGTCTGTAGGGAAGAGGAAACGACATGAGGGGGAAGGCTCGGAGCCCACAGGCCCCAGGCCCAGTGCTTGGTGACCGAGCTAGGCCAGAGCGTGCTAGAGGTTTCCCGGCCCCGGTGCCTTAGAGGGTGTGCGACTGCTCAAGAGCACCCTGAATGAGGTCAGGTTCCAGCCACGAATCGCACAGTACACTAGGGGCTCACCGAGCACGTGGGGGGCTGAGGCCCACGTGAGAACCACGCATGGCGTGAGGCCGCCTCAGCGTACAAGGTGTCCTGTCTGCCCCCACAGGACGGCAACCCTGGCAAGCAGTTTGCCTGTCTGCTGCTGCCGAGGCCACCTTGCTGCCCTCCTAAGCACGCTTCTGCAGGGTCAGCAGTCTGGCTGAAAGGCCCGTAGGCTCCAGGTTCAGTTTTTGAACCCGCAGCCAGGCAACACTCCTGTCCCTCGTATGACTCTGCGTCCAGGGGTCCCAGGCCGGGAGGTTACCCTCAGAAACCACGTCTGTCCACCTGTCATCCGGGACCTGTCCTTGCCAAAAACGTGTAACCTGCATCTAAATGAGCCCCTGGCCCTCGCCTGGAGTTCCCTGGAGAAATGGGACAGTGAACAAACCAAATGATACCATGGGGCCAACACACCAATCCTAGAGGCTGACGGTGCTACCCAGGCCCAGGCTGACAGGCCTGCTTGGGAGTGGCGCTTGCTCACTGAGAACTTGAGGGCAGGCAGTGGCGGGAATGGACCCGAACCCAGGCTGCTCTCCATCCCCAGCCCCTCTTCTGAGGACAGCTGATAACAGGGAAAGACCTATTCAGTATGTGGCCCAGCTGTCACAGGGAAGAGTGACAAGTGAAATGAAAATGTAAGGGATAACTGGATCTTATACTGGCAAAGTCCCTATCCCGTTTCTATTTAAAATGTATCAAGTATAACTGGGCACACTGGCACATACCTGTGATTCTAGCACTCTGGGAGGCTGAGGCAGGAGAATCACAAGTTTGAGAGACCCTGTATCAAAATATATATATATATTTTTTTTTTGGTTTTTCTCCGGTACCGGGAACCGAACTCACGACCTTGCGCTTGCCAGGCAGGCGCTTTTGCCGTTGAGCTAAATCCCCAGCCCCCAAAATATATATTAAACAAAGGGCTGCAGAAGTAACTAAGTGCAAATGCAAAGGTCCTGGGTTCCATTCCCAGTCCCACCCCCCAATCAAGTATTAAGTTACAGGGCAGGGATTTTTCTGAAGAAACTGAATGCTAGCATTACATAACGTCCTTCATCATTCAACTTTTGCAGTTAAGATTATAACTTCATTACAACTTAACTTGAGTGGGGTGGAATGGCACACACCTGTAACACCTGTGCTTCGGAGCCTCGAGTTGGAGGCTAGCTGGCTACACAGCGAGACCCTATCTCAAAACAAAAGAGATCATAACTTAACCCAATCTTAGGGTGGAGGAAAACATGAGAGGTGGCCTGTTTTTCTTTTGCTTTTTGAGACAGGGTCTTATTATGCAGGTCAGACTGGCCTCAAACTCATTATGTAGCCCAGGCTGGCCTCAAACTCGTGGCAGTCCTCCTGTCTCAGCCTCCCAAAGTGCTGGGATTACCCGTGGGTGCCACCACGCCCACCACAGGTTGTCTTTTGAATCATCTCTTGGTAAGCTTCCCCCGCTTCAGTCTCACTGAAGGAGCAGGGCACAGTTGGTCCTTCTCTGCATGCTGTGGAGCAGACAGCACCGTGCTACTCTACAGCAGGTGTACTTATTCCACGATAGCTGCGCACAGGGGAGCTCATACGGGGGTACAGGGGTGAAGTGGGGTTTGCCACCTTCAAATCTCCAAACAGAAAAGGCACAGGCAGGACAGAGCGAATGCACCACACACGGTGTTCACACCTGCTGTGGAAGACACAAATGAGTTCGCTGTGCTGTTTTACAGTTTTTCTGTCTAAAAATGTTCAAAATATAAAATTGGTGGTATGGGAAATCTTCATGCACAGGGCTCTGGTAAGTTAAAGGCCCGTAGGCTCCAGGCTCAGTTTTTGACCCTGCAGCCAGGCAACACTCCTGTCCCTTGTATGACTCTGCGTCCAGGGGTCCCAGGCCGGGAGGTTACCCTCAGAAACCACGTCTGTCCACCAGTCATCCAGGACCTGTCCTTGCTGCAAACCGTTTTTCTCGTTTTTTGTAGTAGTAAAAAACAGATCCTCAAGGAAAGGACCACAGTTAGGAATTACAAACTTCAAACAGTAGAGTCCACAGTAAAGATGAACTTTCACCTGATAACAAAAAATAAGTTCTAAGCCGGGCGTGGTGGCGCACGCCTGTAATCCCAGCACTTGGGAGGCTGAGGCAGAAGGATCGTTGCGAGTTCGAGACCAGCCTGGGCTACAAGCTACAAAGTGAGCTAAAGGCCAGCCTGAACTGCATAGCGAGACCCTGCCTCAAAAAGACCACCCCCCCCGCAAAAAAAAAAGACAAAATTAAGTTCTAGACAGATCAAAGTATTAAAAAGAAAAAGACATGTATGATGAAGAAAAATAAATTATCTGTTTGCAGATGGCAGTGCTGAGACTCTCTGCCACCGAGCTACATTGCCAGCACCTTTATTTTGAGACAGGGTCTCACTTATACGTTGCTCAGGAAGGCCTGAACTTTTGATCCTCCTGCTTCAGTCTTCCAAGTACCTGAGATTCCAGGCCATAGGCCACCAGCGCCTGGAAGGTGATGCAATCTTCTGTACAGGAAACTGTAAGATCTCACCCTTAGCCAGGCGGTAGTTTAAGGCCAGACTGGGCTTCATAGCAAGTTCAACGCCATCCTGAACTACACAGTGAGTCACCCCCTCCAAAACTACCACTGAACAGATGGCATTTACACCAAAGGTGATGGGAAAGTCGATGTTCACGTGCTGAAGAATGAAAATAGACCCCTGCCACATACCATGTACAAAAATTAACTCCAAATGATTCCAAAACTTAGGACTATACTATAAAACTCAAGGGCCAGGGATACAACTGAGTGGCACAGTGCCTACCTGGCAAGCTTGAGGTCCTGAGTTCAATTCCCCGTACCAAAAAAAAAAAGCCAAACCTCAGAAGAAAACACAAGACAGTCACTGAAAGATTTTTTTTAAAAAAGAAGAAAACACAAGAGACAATCTTTATGACATTAGATTGGTAATGGTTTCTGATGTGACACCAAAAACACAAAAAGGAGAGTGAGAGGAATAAGTGACAATTTTTTTTGGAAGGATCTCACTCTGTAGTCCAGGCTGGCCTTGAATTCTCAGCAATCCTCCTGCCTCAGCCTCTCAAATGTTGGAATTACAGGCGTGCAGCAGCATACCTGGCTCAACAAAATTTATGTATGTATGTCTTTGAGACAAGGTTTCACTATACAGTTCAGGCTGGCCTCCAACTCCTGCCAATCCTTCTGCCTCAGCCTCCAAAGTGCTGGGATTACAGGCGTACATCACCGCACCAAGCCTTCAACAAAATTTTTAACTTTTTAAAAAAAATGTGTAACTTTTGAGCTGAGCACACCTGTAATCCGAGCCCTCTGGGGAGGCTGAGGCAAGATCTTGAGTTCAAGCCTGGCCAATCAATTTAGCACCTTAATGTGAGAGGTCCCATAACAAAACAAAAACGGGGCTGGCATGGTAGTTCCATGCAAAGGCCCTGGGTTTAATGCCCAGTACTATACACAAAGATGTTTCAAAAAAACAGGTGCTGGCCAGAATATGGAGAAACTGGAACCCTTGTGTACTGCTGGTGGAAATGCAAAATGGTTCAGCTGTCACAGAAGACAGCTTGGTGCTTTCTCTAAAGTTAAACAGAATGACTGTATGACCCAGCAGTCTCACGTAGAATTCGAAGTAGGAACGCACACGGGTAGGTATATCCCTGTTCCTAACAGCATCATCCGCACCAGCCATCATGTGGAAGTAACTCAAGTGTCTGCCACCAGATGGACATGTAACAAAAATGAACGCACATGCAGGAGGGTGCTATTCCGCCTTACAAAAGGAAGGAAATTCTAACAGGCCACCCCACTGTTGAACCCTGACGACAATACACCCATCAGTCCCCAGACAACACGATTCCACTTTCTGCAAGTATCTATGAGGTAGCTACAACAGTCAAAGGCTTGGGAACAGAGAAATGAAGCAAGATCGTCAGGCACAGCCAGGACAGGGCACTGAGGAGTTACGATCACGTGGTGTAGAAGCTGCCTCTGTCAGAGGTGATGAAAACATTCTGAACTGGAAAGTGATGACAGGTGCGTAACACTGAATGTTTCGTGACATTGGATTACATACCCAGAAGTTGTTAAGTTGGTCAATCTTGTATGTTACCTATCTTTGCCACAATAAAAAAGTACTGTATTGGTAAAAACGTTACTACTAGAGCTGGGTGTGGTGGCACACACCTGTAATCCCAGGATTCAGAAAGCTGAGGCAGGATCACTGCAAGTTTAAAGCCAGCCTGAGCTACACAGTGAGTTCAAATCACTCTGAACTACATGAGACTCTCAGAACAAAAACAAAATTAATGCCAAGAGAAGAGATAACAATTTAGACTGGAGAAAACTTACCCCTACAGTGGCAGAGTAGAAAGGAGCAGCAGATTTATTCTACAGAGTGCTGCTTTCCCAGCAGCAACAGGTACACCGGAAGCAGGGCTGAAGACGGGTCAGAAACAGGACTGGCTAAAGCCTGCCGATAGAGCACTGCGATGCCCAGGTCTCGGCACAAGCCCGGGGCTTGGTTTCTGAGGCGGAAAGAGACTGTCTCTAGACAGGAAGCGGAGTGCCCACTCCAAAGCGGGAGCTGAGGGAAAATCGCTGCAACTAGTGACACTCCACGCGGGCTCCTCCTACCTTGCCCCAGGACACTGGCAGCCCGGCCCACACTCTAGAGAGCAAGGAGAACATGCGGAGGACTTCCCTGAGGATGAGGAAGCCTGCTGTCCAGGTTTCCCCATGCAGATCCAAGCGCCTGCCCAGCTCCCCCTCTCGGGACAGCCTCGGATGAAGAATGCAGCTTGGGAAATTAAAAACCCAAGTGGAACCGTCTCACGTGCAGCTGCCAACATCCGACTCCTCACCGAGGCAAGCCACCGTTCCATGCGGCTCTGTGCAGCAGCAGAAATGAAACTCCCTGGAAGAGCTGTACGACAAGGCAAGAAATCTGCTAGGAAATGGCGGAAAGACACAGGCAGAAAATAGGAGAAAAAAGAGAAGGTATCAGAAGACTAGTCCAAAGGAAGACAGAGAAAAGAATGAAAGGAACTGCCCATGTTTCCAGATTGAGAGAGCCCGTGAGAATTTCCTACGGTAGATGAAACTAGGCTCGAACTACAGCTGTAATCCCAGCACTTGGGAGCTGGGGCAGGAGAATCACTGTGCGTGCAAGACCAGCCTAGACTATAGGTGACACCCTGTCTTAAAAAAATAAATAAATAAAAATTAAAAAAGAAAGAAATTAGGCTCAAAGCAAGGCTCATCATCAAAAGCAGAAGCAGAGTTTGCAGTTACGAACGCTCAGTGAGCGGCGGAGCAGAGGTACGGAGAGGAAGGACCAGATGTCTCCAGACGTGGAAGACAGCAGAGCCATCTCTCCCCGTGAGACTACAGGGCCGCAGCTAGGGCCCTGCCAAGCTGAAGGTGAGGGTGCAACGAAAGGGCTTCCCGTCCTCCCTCCAATGCGCATCGCAAGGCACCAGGGGACTAAGCAAGGGGCGAGGCAGATGGGACTTCACGGGTGGCGGGACGGCAGCAGCGTGAGCCGGGAGCAGCACCCACAGCGGAGAAAGGGGGTGGCTGGCGAGTCCTCCTCCAAAAGCCAGTCGTCGGGCAGGTGAGCTCATGCAGGGGAAAGAAAATCCAATTCTCTTGTACAGCTTGGAAGCGAACAGAAACAGGGCAATTACTAACTACCAAAACCCGACTCCCGCACAGCAGGAAGCACGCTCGTGAGGCACTATTCGGCTCGGCAGCGCCTCGTCTTACACAGCCATAGCCAGTACTAGCGACTTAACCCAGAGCTGCGCAGATGCAGGGAGGAGAGGCAGGCACGAGAGGACACAACAGCAGTGACCCCTCAAGTTCTGTGACAGCAACTTAATAAAGACGTGTCTGAGTGGACACGGCAGCGCCACTCCGTACACACATGGAAGTAAATACTGGAGAGAGCGCAAGAGTTGGCGGGGTGAGATCAGATGGCGAGAAGAGGCAAGGAGGCCTTGGTGCCCAATAAATATTTTTAGGGGGAAATTCCACCAGAATAGCAGCGGCTGGAATTGCAACTCTGTTTATCCTGAGACCAGATCCTCCAACCATGTTTATGAACCCTGAAACAGGTCGAGTGCCTTCTGTTTTGGGGCAGGCTACATTGTTCACCCCACCACTTATACTGATGGGAGGAGAAAACAAAACAAGAAGTGATTATTTAAGCCGGGTGTGGTGGCGCACACCTGTAATCCCAGCACTCAGAAGGCTGAGGCAGGAGGATCGTTGCCAGTTTGACGCCCACCTGGGCTACAAAGTGAGCTCAAGGCCAGCCTGAGGTGCATAGTGAAACCCTGTCTGAAAAAGACCAAAAAAAAAAAAAAAAAAAAAAAAAAGGGAAGCGATCATTTAGGCAGGTGGATACTGTACATCTCAGCCTGCACAGCTCTGCACAACGCAGAACTCTCGGTATGTGAGCGATGAACAGGGGGCCCCACTGCGCGCGAGGTCACATGCGCTCCTCCCGGGCGCGCTGCAGGGCAGGGCCACAGCTGCACCAGGGCATCAGGGACAGGGCGGCGCCACCACCCCGAGGCCTCCGCGCCCTTCCCAAACGGCAGCTCTGTCACCAGTGCCAGCCCATGCCCTGAGCCTCAGGGCTGGGGACACTAGGGAACCTCCCTTTCCTCCACCCGCCTGTGGGTCAGCCCCGCCAGCGAAAGGTTCGTCAGGCACAACTGTGCGCTGCAGCGGCAGCAAACAATTCAAGAACGTGGGAGCCCGACCAGGTAAACCGCACAGGGACGCATGTCAAACGAAGCACATGGGGCCAGGGTGCCCTTTAACATTCAGTCATTTTTCAAAAGGAAAAAAAAAGGCTAAAACGAAGAGCGATCAGTGCCTTCTCTCTTCCTTTCACCTCGTCCAAACATGACGGCCCGGGCCACAGATACAGCTCAGCGGCACAGCGCCTGCCTAGCAAGCGGAAGATCCTAAGTTTGACTCCCGGCACCAAACCTGACAGCCGGATGCTGCCCACCTGAGCTGTCTGACACCCTGGCTCGGCTAAGGACAGATGGCGCCACCTCTGCCCACGTCCTTCACGACAACTCCTGCCCACCAGACAGCAAAGAGGTGAGGCTTGTGGCATCAGCGGTGGGCTTTCTTCTCTCCAGCAGGCCCGACAGCAGGGCTGTGAGGGGCGCGCAGGCGACGCCCACAAAGGCAGAGCCTGACTTTCCACCTGACTGCTGGCCACACTGGGAACCCTGCCCACAGCCCGGGTTCACAGTGAGCTACTGTCGCAGCCCCTGCTGCCAAGCGTCCTTGCACTCCACCCACACCCCCGCCTCCAGCAGCTGCTCCCTGGACCCGAGCACGCGCTCAACACTATCAATGCTGCTTTTGGTAGCGATTACTGCAATAGGAACAGAGACACGTGTCACACACGCCTCACCTCTGACCAGGCCGCCCCGTTCCCGGGCCCGTCTAGCACTCAGCACGGTGACCACGGAACACACAGAGGGGTACCGCGCACCTGACAGGTTGATCTCAGTCAGGGAGTCCCGGGTGGTGGTGCCGACTGCAGTGAGCAGGTTGATGGACTGGTCGGTGACGTGGTTACAGTAACTGAGGTGCAGCTTGGAGAGCAGGGGCATGTGGCGGATGATGAGCCTCAGGGACGCGTCCGTGATGTCCAGGCCTGCCAGGCGCAGCTCCACGATGTTCCGGAGCTTACTTCTATTGTCCATCTGACCTGGGGGGCAGCAGGACAGGGGCGGCCGTCAGACTGATGGGACAGGGCTGGGGATATAGCTCAGTGGCATAAGCGCCCGCCTAGCAAGCCTGAGGTCGTGAGTTCGATCCCCAGTACCGCAAAAAAAAAAAAAAAAAAAAAAAAAGACTCATGGGACACCCTAAGCAGCCCACGGACTGAACGCCTAAGGTTAAGGATTTCACTTAGCCATGAAATGCTCCCCCCACGTCAGAATTCTAACATCTAGAAATCACAAGATTCGAATCCAAAGTCAGACGTCCAGATTCTCCAGAAAAATCAGACTCTACAAACTCTGATACACACTCCCCTCAGCAGCCACCAGCCACACCCCTGCCTCCACTTACCGCTTCAGCTGTGGGCAGGGCCGGGCACGGGCAGCTGACCCAGGGCCACACCACGCCCCAGCCGCCCCCCGCCCCCCGCGTTCAAGGAGTCCCAGAGCCAGCAAGAGCACGGGGGCACAGTCGCGCCCCGGGCAGAGCCCCCGTGCGTAGAGCGGAGCCCTGCGCACCCAGAGACAGCAGGGCAGGCGAGGACTCTGGGCCGCAGCCTTCAGAGAAGGGCCGAGGCCAGATCAGGCGCAGGGCGCCAGCACCAGTCTGGGTGCAGCTGAGGCCCCCGGCACAGCCACAGCATGGCGACTTACCCGGCCTGTTATCCGTAGGTGGTGACAGGAGATCCCGCATCTGGGCGTCCTTGAGCCCTTCTACCCACTGGACATCCAGGGTCCGGAGCAGCGGACAACTGGAGCTGCAGAGCGCCGAGACCGCGATCCACGAGCAGCCCGCCAGCACCAAGTCTCGGAGGCCTGTGGAGACAGGCGCGGCAGGGTCAGCGGGGGCTCAGCCCTGCTCTCCCATGCTCCAGCCCCACACAGCGCTCACCAGGCAGCCGGTTGATGAGCCAGCTCAGCTGCTTCTTGGAGATGTTGGTCCAGCTGAGGTCAAGGGAGACGGGCTGGCGCCGGATGATGCCACTCAGCATCAGGGGCGTGATGGACTTGCAGTGGTTCAGGTCGATGCAGGTCCACAACCGCTTATCACAGCACCTGGGCGGCGGGAGAGACACCGTCAGAGGTGGGGCTCACTGGGGAGCCCCCGCTCAGTTGTGCCGGCTTCCCTCACCCGCCAGCCTCAGAGGCCTTGTGCCCCTCACGGGCGCCTCTGCTCTGACGGCTGTGGCCCCCAGCAGCAGGGGCCGGCACCTGCCCCCGCCCAGGACTTCCCATGAGCCGTAGGACACCTCCAGGATGTCCCTCCAGGAGCAGGCACCACCCGCTCCTACACCTCGGCTGGGGCTTGGGGAGATGCCAAGCCAGGGATGAAGCCCAGCAGCACCCCTGACCCTAACCTAGGCCCACTCTGAAGACAAGGCCTCCACTTGTGGCTGCCTTTGCTCACAGGGAGCCACACAAGAAAAGCAAACAGGCGTGGCCTCTGACAGCCGCAGACAGGCAGGGCCATCTCCCTAGACGCTGGGGGACACCGAAGCTCTACCAGGGTTCACGGGAAAGTGCCGTGACTCAAGTGGGGACACAAGCCACGCATGGGCCATCTTGGGCCACAACCCAGTGACCTGAGCCAGCACAGGCCCTCACCAGCGGTTCCAGGTCCTGCAGACCCGCATGCACACACACAGGTCTTGGTGGCTGAGGTAGCTGAAGACGGCCATCCACACCTCCCTGTGCATGACATGGGCTGCCCCGTCGTCCAGGGGCAGCGAGTCAGGTGGAGGGCTGATGGGGGGCGGCCGGATCACGTGGCGCTCCATCTGGATGCACTTGGGTGGGGACACAGAGGGCGGGGGCCGGGAGATGACGCGGGGTGGGCTGCGCAGGCCGGGGCCCAGCGGGTGCCGCAGCTCCCGGGGTGTGCCGTTGAGCCCCTTGCTGAAGCGGTGGGGGCGCTCACAGAGGCCCAGCGGCCTCTTGGGCTCCTCGTTCTCACTCTCGGGCTCCGACTTGATGGGCTGGTGGTTCTCGTGGGCCAGGCTGCTCTCTGTTTTCTGGATCTCGTGGTTGAGCTCCTTGCTCAGCTCCTTGCTCAGCTCCTTGTTGGGAAGCCGCCGTTTCCGGCGCATCTTCACTTTCTTCTTCTCCTCCGAGCCCTCAGCCCCCTCGGTGCTGGGCCCCGCGGTGGGGGAGCTGGAGCGCGAGTGGTCGCTGTCCCTGCTTTTCGGGGGCGCCTCAGGCAAGTCATCCTCTGGCTCCTGCTTGAAGCGCCGGAGGGGCTTGGTGGCCAGTGGCATCCGGTCCTCGGCGTTCTTCCAGGACCTTCGCTGCAACAGAGGGACAGGCGGGAAGCCCTCGGTCAGCATGCAGTGCCCACTCCAGGCGCCACAGATGAGAACGGCCCGGGGCCCGGGGGGAGGGGGGAGGGGAGGACGGTACCTTTTTCCTGAAAAGCTTATCTTCTTTGCCAGGCTTCAGCTGTTGTGGGAAAAAAGGGTGCAGAGCTTGCTTCCCAGGCTCATGCAGTGTGGTCCCCTCTACCCCACACCCACCACGGGCCCAGGCTACAGCAGGGTTGGAGGGGAACCACCCCCAAGTGCCATCTCCTCCCCTCTGACTGGCAAACGCAGACCTTGCTTGCTGCTTTCAAGGAGGCCTGAGGAGGAGGACTTGAGGGTTCCCGCCCGCTGACTCCCACCCGCCAGACCCACAGCCTGCAGGCGCCATCACCTCAGCCTGGCTCCGCTGGCCCGCCAGGGGCTGGAGCACAGACCTGCAGGCATTCTGGCCCACCAGAGCTGCTGGAACGCAGCAGTTCCAGGTGCCACCTTGTGGCCGGTGACGGCAAGGCCAGTGGGCGGAGCCCGGCCGCAGGATGCTGAGGTTCCTCCCAGGGGCAACTTCAGACTCCGCTCTCCTTGGGGCTCAGCCTGCTATGGCCAGGGCCAGGCCCGGGGGCTGCGCGGGGTTGGGGGGCGCGGTGGGGACAGCCCGGGACTCAGGTCCCCAGGCCCAGGCAGGCGGGTGGGGCGTGGGAGCACCTGCTGCTGGAAGTAAGTGAGACTGGATCTCCACCAGGGGCTGAGGCTGCTGCCTAGAGGGGGCCTCGGCGAGAGGTGAGAGGAACCGGGGGACGTTTGCAGCGTCGAGGCCTAAAGGGGTGGGAAGAGCAGTGACTCGCTGGGATTCCCCCTGTTCTCTGGGGCCGGGCTCTCAGGACTTGGGGACCTGCTCAGGGCAGCCAGAGGCCAGGATCCCCGCGCTGCCCACCCCCCACCCCACGGGTCCAGCCAGGCCGCCCCTCCCGCTGCCGCCCTGCATACCCGCTTGCGTGCACTCAGCTCCTGGGGCTTTTCGTACTTCCGCTTCCTCCTCAGGTGCACGTCGTCCGACTTGCGGCGCAGGATGCTGTCTGCCGGCACCTTCTTCGGGTGCTCGTCCGACCGGCGCCTCGGAGCTTCCTCGCACTCGCTCCTCCGCTTGGCTGGCTCCTGCCCGTCCTTGTTGTCCCGGTTTATCTTCTGCTCCTTGAGCAGGGAGCCGGGCAGGTTGGAGGCATACTTAAAGCCGGGGCCACGCTTTTGCTTGTAGGCCAAAAAGGGAGAAGGAACAACCCGACTTATACCTTTGGACGTGCCCGCTGCCGCGCCCCGCCTGACCCCCGCCAGGCTGGTCCCGCAAGGCCCACGCCTGCCCCCGCCTGGACCTGGGCCGCACTCACTTTCCCTGTCTTGCCGGCATGGTTGCACTTCGGACACTCCCAGCAGTTTGGAAGCTCATCGTTGACCACACCCTCTGACTCCTTAATCTGCAAGGACAGGCGCGACTCAATGGCAGGGAGGGGTGCCGGCCCGGGCCTGGAGGGCACAGGGTCTCCAGGGCCGTGTCCATCCCATTTCCAACCAAAAGAAAACACAGCTGCACAGTTGTTGAGACGTATAACTCAGGTCCAATGCTGGACCTTCTGGCTGGGATATCCCTAGCCACGGGCCAGTGCCCTGATCTATGAGACGGGGCTGAACAGGCCACCTCCCCGGGCCTGGAAGAATTCAGCAAGGGATCTGGGAAAGCAGTCAGCTCAGGGCCCAGCACACAGAAAGGACCCAACATAGATTTCGTCACTTGCAGTCTGGGCGATTGCAATGGGAAGGGCTGGAGCCACAGCAGCTCTTTGGAGCAGCGAGGCTGTCCTTGGTAGGCCGGGATGGGGGAGTGAGGCTCAAACCCACCACCTCCCTGTTGCAGCTGGTGAGCCAGAGTGCCCTCCTGGGCCACCCGCCCCCCACATTCTCTCAGGGTAGGAGATATGCTGGCCACGGTGGACTCTTCCTTCCAAGGCAGAACCTGCTGTCAGCACCGGGCAGGCAGAGAGATCACCACAAGGCAGCCCTGCCCTGAGCACACCAAAGGAACCGGTTCCTGGTGCAGAGGGACAGGCAAGCAGCTGCATGACATTCGGGATCGTCCTCCCTGGCCCAGGCCCTCTTCTCCCAGAAGCTAGGAGGCAGGACTCCACTGAGCAGCCCCACTGGGGCTCTGCTTGGCACACAGCCTGTGTTCTCCACCTCCGGAGATGCCAAGCTCTGAGGTTCTGGAAAGTGGTGGTGTCGAGTTCAGTCTCTCAGGGACACCGTTCCAAACTCTGACTGCTCTGGGCCCACCATGCGATACGGAAGCCCCAGACTCAGTTCTCTGAGATCCAGCCAGCTGCGCTGCACCACGTCGCCCCTGCCGCCCCACAGTCTGCAGGGCAGGGACCTCACCCCAGGTCAGCAGCACCAGAGGCCCGGGGACCGCTCACCTTCAGGCATCCAGGGTGGATGATCTCATTGCAGATGGAGCACTCCATGAGCATGAGGTTGAACTTGCCTTCCTCCTCCTCCACTGTGTCCTCCTTCCCCGCCTCGCCACACACAAGGCACACGGCGGTGTGGGGCAGCACTGGCTGAGGAGCCAGGAGACACGCGAGTCAGCGGGGGTGGGGACAGGATGGGACAGAAGGACAAACACGACACGGACGATGGGACGGGATGACATGGACGACACACCCTGGGGACCAGGTCAGAGACTCGAAGCTTTGTCCTGAGCCTGTAGGGAGACGGCACAGCCTGGCGCTGGCACATTTCATTCACACGCTTACCAGGCTGGGACCTCTACGCAGCAGGTACTCCATGAGAGCCAGGAATACGGTTACAATGCCCACCAGCCTGAGCCCGCGTTTTGGTGGAGGGAGGCAGACAAAGTGAGTGACAGAACGGATAGATGAACAGGCAGGAGGGGATCACAGGCCAGGAAGGCCAGGGCCGGCTGTGAGGGAGGGAAGGGAGTCAGGACTAAATGTGCCACCAGGCAGGATCTCCACTTGGAAAAGACCTGAAGGAGCTGGAGTGGGAGCCTGGCCTAGACCCACGGAGGGGTGGGCTCATCACGCTGGCAGGGAGCAGCCCTCCCCAGGTAGGGCTGTCTTCAGAGGAAGAGGAAGCCACAACCTGCCCTCCCCATGGGCTGGTGTCTGCCCTGACGCTGCGCAGCTCTGGGGGCTGAAACTGCTGGCTCACCACTGGACGACAGCGGCTGCCCCACTGGTGCTCGGAGCCCCACGCACACCACAGAGATCCCCAGTTTGCCTGAAGAGGGTCCTGAATTATATTAATTTCATGGAGGCCCTGACCCTTGAGCACACACCCTTCCACACAGGAAGTGCAAGCGCAGCACTTGCGCACGCTGTGAGCTCGGCGGACCACCTCCACACAGCCTCCGTCACTCGAAAGAACAACTGAGAAAAGCCGTTGGCACTGGCATATTTTTTTGAAGACAACAGAAGCAAACCTGTCATTTCCAGAAAAACAACTGATAGTACTTGGTGGAAATGATAAAATTCAAGTATTTGAAGGAAGATGAGAAGTTTGGGAAACTGATACAAGCCACTATGAACTAGAAGTCTTACCGAAGCTTTTCTGATTAGTGAACAAAAGATAGCGTTTTGTATCTATATACGTGCATACATGTACACAGATCTGTATATACACACACACAGTACCAGCACCAATACTGGAAAATCTTCAGTGAGCCAACGCCAACATCTTCCAGATGACCGATGCATAGTGTTACAGCTCCCTGCATGACCAAGAGCTCAAACTGATGCTTCTAAGGCAGCAGCATGAAAAGCTCACCCGTAATTTTGGGTCCCACCTTCAACTGGCCTTTAAGAAGCTGCCACCTGCTAAGTTCTGGGGGCTGCGTATCCACATGCACTTCTCCCGCATGCCTCCCGGTCCAATGCCTATCTATGGAGTCTGGGCTCTCCTCTACCTCCTCCAAAACAACCTAGCATGGACTGAACAAAGAAGCAGATGTGGAAACCCAGATCCTTTCCAATGAGCTAGCTGCAAGAGATTTACAAAGACAAAGCAGTCATTCTTCCTCTATTTTACTTTGGAGTTGGTTCCTATAAAAATGCTTTATCTTCATTTAAAAGACATGTAATGGCTGCGTGTGGTGGTGCACTTCTGTAATCCCAGCGCTTGGGAGGCTGAGGTAGGAGGATCTTTGCAAGTTCGAGATCAGCCTGGGCTACAAAGTGAGCTCAAGGCCAGCCTGAACTGCATAGCGAGACCCTGTCTCAAAAAGACAAAAAACAAATAAATAAAATAAAAATAAAAGACATGTAATGGGTTTGTTATTCTCAAAATGAATTTAAAATATTGTAAAAATTCAGGGCCAGGGATATAGCTCAGTGATGCAGTGCCTGGCTGGCAAGTGCAAGGTCCTGAGTTCAATTCCTGGTAACCAACCCCCCCCAAATAATACAGTAGATAATAAGTAAATAACCTACATTAACAAGGACACTTTGGGGTCCTCGTGATTTTAAGACCATAAAGAGGCTCCAAGACCACCCAATCTGATGGCAGAGCCCAAGATCAGGTCTGTGCCCCCTGCTCACTTGGCCACCCGGCCTGGTCAGTACAGAACGCAAAAGCAGCACAGGTACGGGTTTTACTGAACCGCTTCAAAGGTGCTTCAAACAAGCTGGGATATGCTTCGCTGTAAGTGGAAAAGGCCACACAGTGGCACTGACATCTGGATCCACACGGAACACTGAAGGTAAGAGAGCGATCAACCATTCGACAAACACCTGACAACATCTGCTAATGCCCAGTACAAGGTACTAAGAGGGGTGTGAAGTGAGGAGACAGCTGTTCTCCTCCAAGTGTGCAGGAAGACAGAGATATAACTCACTGAGATCCAAGAATGTGAGATGAAAAGTTGTGTTCACGTGTAATCCGAAGCAGCAAGGCCAATTTCTGAGGGCTCGGAGGACAAGAAAGGCGGAAGGAAAGGAACTCCAGGTGAGCAAGGCCCAAGTGGTCTGCTCAGGACAAGCTCAGCCTGGGTGTGTAGCAGCGGCCTGGAACTGGAGGTGCGTGGGGGCAGGCAGCCCTGGTGGCAAAAGGAGCGTCTGGGCTCAGGACACAGACTCTGAGATGGCCAGGTGGCAGAAGAGGGCACCAGGGGCAAAGCTGCTACAGAGGTGCTGGAGGGGAGGGGGCCAAGCCAGTGGATGAAATCAGGGGAGACAGCAAAGAAGGGAGATGTGCACAGCAGGTAGGAAGGCTGCAGGGAGAACCTGGGCCGGTGGGGCAGGTACAGAAGGCTGGCAAGAGGAGGACCAGCTGGCTGAAGAAGCCTGAGGGGTGGGAGTGGGCAGGAGACAGGTTTACTCCTGCCAGCACGGCCCATGTGCCAGGCACCAGAGCTGCAAAGGCAAGGTGGCCAAGCACAAAGGTTTACTATAACTGGGCCCTGGGCACCAGGGCGAGGACAAAAGATAGTCGCAGGTTTTAGGTGACACCTGTCCAAACCAATAGTCTCCAGATAAGCTCCTTAAGATCCTGTCTGAATCCAAAGGATCACACAGACCCTCTTCTCCAGAAAAATGTACACAGGCCAGACAATAATCTGTGCTGAATCTTGGGGGTTAACAACTAGAATATAAGAACTTCTACAACCTCACAACGGAACACCATAAAAACCCAATTAAGAATGAGCAAAGAAGTTGCAACATTTCTCCAAAAATATACAAATGACCAACAAGTACAAGGTGCTGTCAGTCATCATTAGAGAAATGCAAATCAAAAGCACAATATGATGGGGGCTGGGGATTTAGCTCAGTGGCAAAGC